TCTTCCCCCGGCTCTTCATCCAGGAACTCCTCTCCCCTTCACCAGTTTCTGCTTGGTAAGTATCTCCGGTGGGTTTTTTTCTTCTTCAAAATGACACAAAAGGGATCCTGTGAAATGTATCAGTCCCTCCAGGTAAGAATGTCTGAAGTAACTTTAGTCCTTTCCTCCCAGTAAATGAAATATTTCCCCCTTAAAAACAAATATGGCACATTTCCACTATCAGGAGAATGGAGATCCTCACATTTGCTGTTGTGTGACTACTTTCCCACAGGCAGTATATTATAAGAACACTGCTCCTTGGTAGTTGTGTGTCTGACCTCCAGTTTCCACAAACTGCAAGGGCAGCAGTTTTCAGGAACAAACCAGTTGACTAAGCTGTTAGTGGAAACTTTTATTATTATATACCACGTACTTCAGTGTAGCATAAAGATTTGTGAACTGGCTTGGGAGTCGGAAAAACTGACCATGATAGCATCATGCCTTTGTAGGAACTGACTTACCCAACTTCTTGTTTGGTCTGACTCTGGTATTTTTACACTATAACACTGTACAGTCAAATACACAGGCAGGAAAGAGCATAAACCACCTCATGCCCTCAGAGGAAGATTGTGTGTTCAAAAGTTTGGACACTGCCAACACAGACAGCATGCAGTGGGTCCAAAGCCCACAAAGTAAATGGAAAGGATCCCATTTTGATTTAAAGGGTGTTAGATCAGGCACTAGCTACATACTACATGCATCCTCACAAAAGGATAAACAGCAAAGGCCTCAAAGCAAGTGCTCCTGATCTTAAAAATGACTGAATGAAGGTTGCTGGTGCAGAACTCAGTCTTTAATGACATGGTCTTACACTAGTTTTTCTATAGGAGCCATACTTTATTCAGTACATAGTACAGGTGGTCCTTGCTTAATGCAGAGTTATTCTATATTTCTTTTATCCTTCTTATTCAGCAAGTGGATTCATGCATTGTTCACCCCAGACTATTCAAACTATGCACTGAATACAGTACTGTAAATGCCTATACAGATAAAAGGCATAAAAACTTTAAAAAAAATCTGGTTCTTGATGCTTTACAGACATTAATTAATTTATCGTTCCAGACCCCTGGCATGAGGCTGTATCACCAGCCCTACTTTGTAGGTGGGAAGAGAGGGCACACTAAGGTTAATCCACCAAATAATCACTTGTGTCCAACTCAGAGCACCTGATTTTTCAATTTTTTCAGCCTTATGTAGCACTACTTATAACCAGGGCACTATGAATTTAAAGCAAGTTAGCTCAAAAAGCAATATTTCCATTATGTGATATCCCATTATCCTACCACACTGGTCATGAGCAGGGCTGAGAACTTTAGAACTCCTTCACAGCTTTCTACCACTTACACCTTCTGAGTAATTAGAAGCAATAGAAGATTCTTCTGTGGAAAGCTGCCACCCTAGAGAGATGAGGCATACTATGCCACTAGGTTTTCAGCAACTATTTACTAGATTTTTGTTAAAACTGAGGAATTCAATTCCCTTCTGCTCCTATCCCATCCTTCCCCATCTGCTGCCCCTGTTCCTTTTTGATTTCTGCATCTCATCTCTGCTTTTGCTCCTGATCTCAGGTCCAACCCTTTTCTTTTCTCAGCTCCTGAAATCACTTCCCCTCCCAGGCACTTCAGAACTATGCACTAGTTACATGCACAACTCACAATGTGATTGTAATTATAATTTGGCTGCAATTTTAATTTCCTCCATCCCCCAAGCACACCAATTCTCACAAAAATTAATTTCAAAGACTAAGTTGTCTGAAAGAGACCAAATTTTTACGGTATGTCATGACTGCCCTGGGAAAATGACTTGTATATCTTCTGCTGCCAATTTGAATTTAAGAAACTGAAGGGTGCAGACACTGGCCTTGTGCTGCCATGACCATTTTTATGGTGGCACAAGCTGTGACCATTCAGATATTCCTGCCACTTGTCATGCTTCAAGTGCCCAAAAAGGTTCCTGTGACCAAAGGTAGTCAGTTTGCTTACTGCACACCATGGGATCTCCCCTGAAGGGGAATCCCACAATGCATATATCAAGGATTCCCACAGCACATGTATTAATTAGGCTGCTATGCTCCAACCTGGTACATGCGTCTGCAAGTGCAGGAACCTACACGTGTAGGTTCCTCTACTTGTAGGTAAGCATGCAGGAACTCCCTACAAGGGATTCCTATGGTGCATGTATCTCACTGCCATGCCCCAATTCAGGGCATGGCACCCCACTGTGGGCTGTTTTCCATTTTTAAAAACTGGCTAGTTTTGAAGTGACTTTGGGCTATAAATTTAGCTGGCACCTGGCAACCCTAAATAGAATGTAACATCTGTTTTTTTGGGGTTTTTTTTTTTTTTAAATACTTCCTTTTTGAAATTGCTTTAAACCTTTCGATTCTTGTTTACAAAGAAATCAGAAACACCACAATAGGTCAGAATGTTTTTGACACTATGGATTCCTATTTGAAATCTCCAAATGTATTTTGTAAATTGTGTGTAGGTGCTTGCACACCTAGTAGTGCTAATATTGCAAGGCACATTGTAGCACCCGTAAAAAATATCTCACAGCACCCTGGTTGAGAATCACTGATTTAATCTCTTCATTACATGACTTAGAAGATGGGTCTGAATGTACAGTTAAGTAAATCTGTATATTATACCAGACTGTGTGGGGTAACAGACCCTTTGGAAGATAGGATCAGGATTCCAAATTATCTGGACACTCTTATTTCAGACTATTTCTCCCATCTGATCAAATTCAGTAAGAAAAAAATGAAAGTACACTCAGGATAGAATAATCACATGCGCAAATACATACTGGGAAACAACTAGCTGAACTGCAGGATTGAAGAAAAGGACCTGGGGATTATAGTGGACCACAAAATGAATGAGTCAACAATATGCTGCATGCAAGCCATAGAAAGTGATTCTTTCAGTCTGTTCAGCACCGACATGGGCTCAAATTCACTTTGTGCAGTTTGGGGTACAACACATCAAGAAAGACCTGGACAAACTGGAAAGAGTTCAGCAGACAGCAACAAAATGTATCAGAAATCTAGAAAATATGAATTACAAAGAAAGATTGGAAGAGCAGGGATTATTTAGTCTAGAAAAGAAAAGACTGAAGATATCAAATTTCTCCTCAAATACCAGAAAGGTTGCTATAAGAAGAATAGCACTCAATTGTTTTCTGTGTCCACAGGGACAAGACAAGAAGTAACAGTCTTAAATTTAAAGAAGGGAGATTTAGGTTGGATATTAGGAAGAACATTGCAACTATGAGTGTGCCTAAGCAACGGAATCTCCATCACTGGAAGTTTTTAAACACAGGTTGGATAATATTTGGTTTGAATGGTTTAAACAGCTATGACCTGCTTTGAACAGAGGCCTAAAAGTCCCTTCCAACCCTAGTTTTCCTGTTTCTGCAACAGTCCACATCCTGGTGTTAGGAAAGGACTCTAAGCCTATTAACTCTTTCTAAAAAAACCCAAACAAACAGAAAAACAAACACAATAAAGTTTTTTTCCCCCCACTTAAAGTCAAAGCACAAACTGTTAACCATATACTTAATAACTATGCTAACTAGTTACTGCCACTAACTCCAACAGAATCACCAGGAAACAGGCAGACACCGCCACCATTCCCATCTCACCGCCATGACCTGTAACAACAAACTGAGGGATCACTGATCTCGTGTTCCACCCTTTATGCTCTGGGTTGTGGAGACTGCAAGGACACTGAGAATCCATGTGCAGTCCCAGTGGACACTGCTATCTCAATACTATCTGATCTTGTGCACATGGGGTGGGGGACAAATACATAATAAGCAGCTGTGGAAGGTAGCAAATGAAATATTTATTCATCAACTTCAGTTCTGCATAGCTCTGTAACCTACCACCCCCAGAAATACAAACATTGTGACCTATTTATAAAAAGCTAGGGATATTTTTAATACATTGTATTCCTTTCCCCATACAAATAAATTTAACATACTATGTTGTTTCTACAGTCTTCATTTCTTCCAGTTCTGCTGCCTCTCTTTGGTGTTTGGCGTTCAAAAAAAAAACAAACAAACAAAAAACTTTCCTCCAACCCCAAAACCAAATGTATGGCTGGAGGTAGTGTCTTCTGGAAGTTATGAAAACTACTGCTTCAGTTGCTCACAGCAAAAAAAAATTAAAAAAATCACTAAGCTATAACGTGTACAACATGCTATTTCCACAGAAACTATGTACATGCATTCCTACCTCTAAACCAACCCTAAGTATATAGGACTAAATTTGGCCATGAACTCTCACATTACCAGATAAGTCTTCCAATCTGTTTGCCTCCTTCCCTTGCCTTCTGGCTCAATTCTCCTTTGCCTGATCTACTCTAGTATCTCCCAACTATGCACAAGTCTCTTCTGGGTCAATCAAATATTAATTATATCTACACCAGCCTTCACACAGAGTGTCCTCTTCCCTCAGAAAAAAATGAAGAAAACAATACAACTAGACATAAGACTACAAAAGGAAGACAAAAGATGATTACTTTACAGGAGAAAGCGAACAAAGAGATCCGAAAAATAAGACACTTGCAAAATTGAGTCAGCAATTAGGAGCCACCAAACAGGAAGAGGATACATGCACCATAATCCTGAAACAAGGTATCCTAGGAAGGCTGCAATAAAGGTTACTTTATTTTGATAAATACAGTGTGATTAAACTATAAATAAAGTTGTTAGAAGAAGCAGGTCTAAAGTAAGGGTGAAATCTGGCAATGTCCAGCTATGTAATATTATTAATACAAGTATTACTGGTATGATGCGTCTCAGCAAGCTGAAGTACAGCAGAAACCACGCCAGACTTTGACACACAGTGACAACAAACAGAACAAAATATGCTGCCTAAATATTGTATAAAACAGCAAAAATACTTAAGAAAACATGCTAACAATATTTGCAAATATATAGCTCAGCATATCACTTGCCATTTGGTGGTCCTGTCGGTTGGTATGGTGGATAGGATGCTGAAATGGTAGGCCGGGAAAAGACAGGAGGCTCCTCTCCGAATACCACAATCATAACTTGAATCAATTCTAACAAATCTGACTGGGGCTACAAATTAAACAGATCAAAAGTTTTTGATATTTTTAAAGAGAGAGAGAGCTTAGTTAGCTATTAATGACTCACTACACCTCAGCTACCACACATCAGCTGAACATTTTTTCCCATGTATTTGCCCAATCTAGTAGATTCTAATTCTGCTAGCTTTTGTTATTAGCATAATGTTCAAGAATAAAATAGTAACATGTAGCTGGGATAATGCTGATGAAGAGGGAAACTCTGAACAATGTGTGGCTTTACATTAATTTGCATGTTACAATAATCAGAGTATTAAAACTTTTGTGGTATATCACATCATTTTTAAAAAGGCAAACCAGTTTTTAGTCAAGAAAGCTAAATATAAGTAGTCAGGCGTTCCAAAACCACACAACAGACAGTTTTGCTCAGAAGAAAATGTGCTGCAGGCCACTAGTGCCTTGGGCATAAGCTACCCCACAGCGTTCCTTGCACCAACTGGTTCCAGTTATATTTTGAATTTTATAACATCAAATTTTTCTTGCATGATGAATTTGCGCATACATCACTTAATTGCTGTCAACATAAAGAAAGACAAAAGTTGCTACTGGAGTAATGGCTTCTTATACTGAGTAACTTGATTAGCAAGGCAAACAGCACAAACATAAGCAATTATATTCCCATTTGAGGCTCAAACTTCACATTTCAAATCCAACTACATCTAAATTCTGAAAGTATGAATAGCAGAAATGGTATCTAACTCCTGAAAGCATGTATAGCTTTGCTGTGATGACATCATAGAAGACACCATTTAGTTAAGTTAGAGCACAGAGAAAAAAGTTTAAATATTAACAGAAATATCTTCCCCAGTAAGAGAGATAAGGATTTCTTAGGATGATATCTTTGATTGGACCAACTCTACAGTTAGGATAGAGTTAGACAAGGTCTTGAATGCAAGATATTCTTCATCAGGTCTGGATGACCTATTCTATCATGGCTACATCACCACTCTTACACTTCTCTAATGAGTGTAGGATACCAAATAGCAGAGATGATGCTCACGAAATAACAGAAGCGTGAGCACAGATGTTCAGAACTCCTAGGTTTTGACTTCACTTTTACAAAGAAAGCAAAAATCTTCAGCCTCGGTTATTGCTCTTAAATTCAAAACTACAGACAGTTTGAAAGTACATAACAATCTAGGTCAATAGGACAGGGTAGAGGGAAGAGGAGAGTAGGACTAGATGGCCTCTTGGGGTCCCCTCCAGCCCTATATTTCTACAATTCTCTCCTTTTCAACAGACTTTGTTTTGAAACATTTGAACTGTTTCACATTTGATCATCAAAGATATATTTTACTTATAGCACCATAATTCTGCCCTGTGGACATCCCTAAAAATGTATTTTCTTCAAGTAAATACTCCCCTCTCTAAAGATCAACATCTTATGCATCTTCTATCAGAAAAAGAAACCAAAAAATAGGATTCCCCTTTTGAGTCCACAAATGCTGCGCTGCTTCATCAGCCAAAAGAGAGTTGGTCACTGGTAATTGGCCAACAGAAAAAAATTAAAAGTTCAGTATATCCCTTTAAGATTGTCATGGCGTGGGATCCCTAGAGACAGCCATGATGCCCCTATGGCCCTGTGATTGTGCCAACTTCACCCTGCAGGTGCCTTCTGGTCTTGCCTGCCACACTTTGTTGGTTAAGATAGTAGACAGGGAGGCTGCCCTCAAGTTGCTACGCAGTCACTGTCCTGATGGCCCCCACTAAACCCTGAGGAATTTTAGACCCCTTGCTGGGTCCCGTTTTAAGCAGGTGCCTCGTGAGACACCCCAAGCCTTAAGGGCTAGATGCATGGCACCAGAACTGCCCCTTTACTACACCCCATGCCTCGCAGATGGTATTTAGACATTGTCTCTAGTGATGAGACCTCAGTTTAGTTCGGTCTCTTGTTGTCACTGGACCCTTAGCCTCAGTAGCCGTGCCCTCTGACACTGGGGTCTCCTCACCCCCTGTCTCTGTGCCCTCTGGCACTGGGGCCTCCTCACCCACTGTCACTGCACCCTCTGGTGCTGGGGCTCTGCACAGTAGTGTGCCCCAATGACACCTCCTCCTCCCCAGTAGCCTCAGCCCTGTCCACTGGATTAAACAACAAAAATATGAGCCCCTGGGTTATAACCTAACAATAACAACACCAATGACACTAGAGGCCACACTCTGCACCTTTAAGAGGGCCTGTTTCTCCCTCAGCAATGTGTGCCTCCTAGTCCCAGGCACTTGAGGAGCTCCTAGAGCAGGTGTAGGCAACCCCCAGCATGGGTGCCAGAGTGTGGCATGCAAAGGTATTTTGCTTGGCACATGAACCTTAGCAGAAACCAGGGAAGGAGCTGGGGCTGCACTGCCACAACAAGGATCAGGCCCCTTGCAGCTCCCCCACCATCAGCCTCAGCACACCAACATCTTACAAGCAAGAGTTTGCAGGTGTTTTCAGCACTGTGTCCAAAAACTTAGCTGACTCCTGTTCTAGAGCCTGTTAATCTCACCAGCAGCTGGACAGACAGCCAAGCATCTGCAAAGCTTTTACGCACTCCTTCCCTTCTGACTACTGCCAGAGAACTGACCATCTCCAGCCCCAGCCCTGGGGCTTATATGTGCCCAGGGCCCCATCTTCGTCTGGTCAGCTAACCGGGTTTCAGGGGCAGGCTAATTCCCTCATTTGCCTGCTGCCTGGGCACCCTGCAGCTGTGGGGGTTCTGTCTGGCCCCTAGGGCCCTCTCTCGAGGCAGTTTCTGCCTTTAAAGGAGCAGGCATACCTTAGTGCCCTGCAACACAGATAGTAAAAAGGACATCAATTCACTCAGAGCTCCTTGGTGAAAAAAGGCATGGCTGTTTTACTTCTAAGAGGCAAAACAACATTCATTTCCTGTTAAGAAAACCAATATTACATTCTAAAGTAATTCAGAACTAGCTGGTCTGAAGAAATTAATTTGACTTACATGTTTCCACTCATGTAGATAAGGAAGGTATATCTTTCCATTTGCATCAACATGCTTTCCAGTTTTAATTGTCATTGAACTAGTGGGTTTAACAAAACAGATTGGAGGATTGAAAGGGTATGTGTCCAGCAGCCACAGGCATATTGGGATATTGTATGTGTTACCTATAGAAAAATTACAAAAAGATAATTTATTCTTCCTCTTCAGCCCTCATGCTGACCTCAGATTTTCAAAAGACTACTAAAATCAGTCAGAAATAAATCAAATAAATATCTTAAGATCATCTAATTAAGGCATGCAACATTTCAATCAAACTGCAACGTGAGGACAAAATTAAACTGAAGTCTACCAATTATATAGCTAGTGAGAAGCCTCTGCTTTTCCTGGAAGATCTGTTTCTCACACCACTTAAGCCTTGCTTTAGGAATAAAATTAACCTACAAGAAGGTATTTTTATAGCTATTGTCTACCACAAGGTGGGAAGCCAGTACTTATTTGGGAACTATTCTTAGCCTTTATTGTATGTTGTTTGCAATCCTCTTTTACCTGGCTCCCAACCTTGAAAAGTAAAAGCCAATCCAGTTAAAAAAAAGCTGTCAAGTAGTGATCTTCAACTGGTGAGCAGTAGAAGTCCCACATAGCCCACAAAGGCACATGCAGAGAGCGATCAGCCTCCCAATAGTCTCATGGTGCCAGGCAGCAGCATGTTGAAACATCATATTGTCCACTATATGCTACACACCAAAAGGAGAAGCTATTAAGCTGCCTTAGTACAGTCCTGCTGAGAAACGGGGCCAATTACCTTGGGAAAAAAATGCTGCCTAAATGCAGCTATACAGATTCTATTCCAAAGCTAGCTTGTATGTCCCTACAGCACACCTGACAAGGAGACTGCAAGGGAGGTAGGCTGCATACCTGCAGGCTGCCGAGGGGCTGGAGGTGAACTAGGGCAACAAAAAGTTTGAGAACCGCTGGTATAGACAGTAACAGCAACAAAGCAGTGAAGTAAAATGTTACATCCCCTTATCTGGGACTCTATCCCTAGAATAGCTAAGACAAACAGCTCATACACTACTCTGGAACACTATTCCACAGCAAACAACAACAACAAAGCTATTTAAAAATACTAATTATTAGGGCTGTCAATTAATCGCAGTTAATTTATGCAATTAAGGCAAAACAAATTAACGCGTTAATTTTTTTAATTGTATTAAATCACACATCATTTTGACCAGGGGAGCGGATCAGCCGGAACCCACGTGCACAGCCCCAACCCTGCCCCACCCCATGCCTACTCCAGATGCACCTGCCCACACTGAACAGGAGCAGCAGTGGCTGGGCAGAAGCTGATACTTGCCACAGGGGAAAATCCCCCCTCCTTCCCTGCCCCACTGCTGCCAGGGCCTTCTTGCTACAGCCACCCAGAGCCTGCGCCCCCGGGGCTGCCCTACGGTTCCTCTCTGCTGCTGTCACTGCTGCCTCCAGGCCGCTCAGCGGGGCAGTGTTGGCAATGCAGGGGAGCTGCAGGGCAGCCGGGGCACAGGCTCTGAGTGGCTACAGCAAGAAGGGCTCCAGGCTGTTTGGTGTGGGGGGGGTGCCGACTATTGTTTCACTGCACAATTAAAATTGCAATAAATTGAGACTTTTTTTTTTTTTTAAATCTTGCAATTAATTGCGATCAATTTTTTAACTGTTTGGCAGCCCTACAAATTATGAAACAATGAGGTGTTTCAAAGGCCCCCGGCAGATGTTATATTTGTCGTGCATTATATGAGAGTATTGCGCAACAAATCCTAATATGCCAACTGGCTGTATGTTAAAATTATTGTGGGATATTTCCATAACTCATAGATTCATAGATGTTAGGGTCAGAAGGGACCTCAATAGATCATCGAGTCTGACCCCCTAAGCAGGATGTCCAATCTAAATCTGCTCTCTGCTAGCTTGTGGCCATTATTTCTTGTAACCCCCGGGGGCGCCTTGGTGAATAAACACTCACCCATTCCCTTCTGTGCCCCCGTGGTGAACTTATAGGCAGCCACAAGGTCGCCTCTCAACCTTCTCTTGCGGAGGCTGAAGAGGTCCAGTTTCTCTAGTCTCTCCTCGTAGGGCTTGGTCTTCAGGCCCTTAACCATATGAGTGGCCCTTCTCTGGACCCTCTCCAGGTTATCCGCATCCCTCTTGAAGTGCGGCGCCCAGAATTGCACGCAGTACTCCAACTGCGGTCTGACCAGCGCCCGATAGAGGGGAAGTATCACCTCCTTGGACCTATTCGTCATGCATCTGTTGATGCACGATAAAGTGCCATTGGCTTTTTTGATGGCTTCGTCACACTGCCGACTCATGTTCATCTTGGAGTCCACTAGGACTCCAAGATCCCTTTCCACTTCCATGCCACCCAGCAGGTCATTCCCTAGGCTGTAGGTGTGCTGGACATTTTTCCTCCCTAGGTGCAGCACTTTGCATTTCTCCTTGTTGAACTGCATTCTGTTGTTTTGTGCCCACTTGTCCAACCTGTCCAGATCTGCTTGCAGCTGTTCCCTGCCCTCCGGCGTGTCTACTTCTCCACATAGCTTTGTGTCATCTGCAAACTTGGACAGAGTACATTTCACTCCCTCGTCCAAGTCACTGATGAAGACATTAAAGAGTATCGGTCCAAGGACCGAACCCTGCAGGACCCCACTTCCCACACCCTTCCAGGTCGAAACCGACCCATCCACCATGACTCTCTGGGTGCGGCCCTCTAGCCAATTCGCCACCCACCGGACTGTGTAGTCATCCAAGTCACAGCCTCTTAACTTGTTCACCAGTATGGGGTGGGATACTGTATCGAAGGCCTTCCTGAAGTCTAAGTATACGACATCCACCCCTCCTCCTGTGTCCAGGCGTTTCGTAACCTGGTCATAAAAAGAAACTAGATTGGTCAGGCACGATCTGCCTGCCACGAACCCATGCTGGTTTCCCCTCAGCGTAACTCAGAGAAGATGTGCTCGACAACCAACTCCTTTGGAGCCAATTTGCCATTTTTAATTCAGGGAGAAACTGGTTTAATGCCTGCCATGCTATTATTTGTCACACAATTCTCAGACAGAATGCGCAACAAATGTAACATCTGCCACAGGCCAAAGAGAACAGTGATTATTGCCTTCTAAACCAGTGGTGCCTACCCTTGTTGGCCCATGGGCCAGATGAGCTGTGCTAAGTTTGTAGGCCTGCTGGATCCAGCCTGTGAGCCCAATGCAGCCATGTGGTGCTGGCCATTCTGAGGCCTGATACAGCTCCTCTCCAGCTGGGCCATTTCCAGGTGGCTGAACTGGGCTCCAGCTTGATCCCACCATGCAGGAATTGGGTCAGATCCCTGCACATGAGAACAACCAGGTCAGGTCCAATCCAGCCACGTGGGACTTGGAAATGTGGTGGCAGGGGAGTGGGGACAGCGTTAACTGCCACTAGACCCACACTGCCGAGTTTCTGGACCTCTGGGGAGAACCATGGACCAGATTACATGGCCAGGTTGAGTACCCGTGGGTCTTTTGAAATATTTGCAAACAAAGGGAAAATGCAATGCCAGGGTTTGACTTTCCCATTTCGGTAGGCAGGGGTGATGCAAGGAGCTGAATAAGCAAAAAGTCCACCCTTATAGATCTTTAAATCAGTTGATGACAGGTGGAGCGCTGGGTGAAAAAAAAACCAAAAACCCTCATCTCTACACCCCTAAATGATGCTCACCTCTATAAGGCACAGGAATGGTCCCAGAGAGGCTCATCAACTCCCGAGATGACCCATCGTTAAAAACTAAATGGGAAAGAAAAACATTAGAGAACTTTACTGTGTTATCATGTGTTCCTGTTACATAAATCTATGTCAGACTGCATACTTAGAATGATATTTATGCTGCTACTAGAAAGTCCCTCCTTTTACATTGTTATTATACACATATTGATTGGCAAATACTTTTTCACAGTTGATTAAGTCATGTGTTTTGAGAGACAGAGAAGATATATTACACTATCCAATAATTCCTTTATCAATTTAAAACTGCACCTACACACAAGGTCCTAGGTGTAAGATGATATGACTATGCAACTATGGACTGACATCTAAGGCTAAAAAACAGGCACAGTTTCTCCTGGGTCTGACTGTCCTGAGCAGCCCTTTCCCACGTGCATCTTGAATGGCAATTAACTAGAATTAAACCCCTATTGTCCCAGGGAAAGTGTTATTTGGTACTTCACAGGTACTTACAGGACAATGGGTTTGTAAATCTGTAGGATCCCAGAGTAAGAGGCTTTCTCCCAATGTCTATTTTAGCCTAACCTTTTGTTTAAAACATAATTCCCTAGTTCATATAGTTGTAAAGATGGAACATGTACATGTACTCAACATAAAAACCTACAGTGCATTTAAAGTTTATGGCCAGTATACACTTATTTTTATATAAAACCAGCAAGAGATAGAACTCTAGTATATCAATAAGATGACTATGTCATTCATAAATTGCTGCCACAATTTAAGCTTAACCCACAACCTGAGTAGGCACCCTAACTACAAATGAATCTTCTACTGATTTGTCCTGCCTGGCTTTCCAGCTTTTACACTGAGGAAGACTATTTTTCAGCTTAACAGACCTCATTGCCAAGATGTTATCTTCATCATAAGCCTAGATTTTCCTTTTTCTTATTTTTCATTTAATTACTTCTAGTAATAACATCACTGTAGCTCACCATGCAGATACTACTTTTAGGTGCTAATGACTTGCAAAGATCTGCAAGCTTTGCTCTTAATTACAGTATTATATGCATTTTGTTAATATTTCCTGGGAAATTAATCTTTTCAGGCCCCCCAAATGTTTTCTTACTTCTCTTAACTCTATTAAATGTGAATTACTCTTCTGAAAATGTTCTTCTTAAAACTGAATACAATTAACTTTATGGATGCAGTCTCATCTGGGCAGTTTAGAAAGGAATAGGGACCTCCATGCTACAGGACCCCTTTCTTTAAATGCGTAGTTCAAAAACTGCACTGACATTTTGTGCACCCTATGGCAATGCAGAATCACTTCTGAATTGCTAGACAATATTCTGCTCTTGGTCCCTTTTTCATTTGTCCCTCTCTCATAAATGTTTTGAATTATTTTTCCTGAAGCAAATGGCTGCATTCAACTCTCCTACCTACCCCCCTACTTTAAAAATGTGTTATTCTATTTTTTTATCTATTTCAATTGCTCTAATTTTCTCTGTACACTTCAGTCTTTGCTCAAGTGGTCCCTCACTTAAAATCTTCAACAAACATGTTAACTAAGCACAAACTTTAACCCAAACCCTAAAAAAACCTCTAGATATGTCTTGCGCATAATATATTGAAATGTGTTGATACCTTTTAAAAATGACTAGTGGCAGTTAAACTCTGTTAGACTAGCCAATTAAAATTAAATTTCTATACACACATTACAAGAACTCTCAAACAGCCTTGCTATACTCAGGAATAATTCATTTTTTTCCAGCCCTAAAAGAGCATAATGCAGATTCACTGTTAACAAGATCACTCTTTTGGCTAATTTATTGTTCTTTATACATAAATATGAGAAAATATCCTTTACTATAGTCCAGCTCAATTTGTGATCTTCTAACAGCTTCCAAAGTAAGCACGACTACTAAACAGTATACCACATAAGTCTCACATACCAGACTGAAACAACATTGCTATAAGGAAGGTCATGAGCAAGGATCCTGAATTTCTCTGTTTAAAAATCACAGATTCTCTGATAAACCCCATTTGATTTGGGGTTTTTTATCATGGAAAATCAGAGCTCCCCCTGCCCCCTTGCTCACCAGGATACAGGTCCAGGCCCCTCACTACCCACCCACAGCCTCCCTGGCCTGGCTGGTGCCCTGCACTCCCCACCCACAGCCTCCCCACCTCCCAGCCCTGTCAGAGAGGTCCCCCAGCTGCCAGGGTTACGGGGCCAGGGACCCAGTTATGCAGCCCCCTGCCCCCTGGCTGCCACCTGCAGGAGGTGGCAGCTGCTGTGGTGTAGCGGAGCCTAGCTCCCCGTCCCCACAGGCAGCACAGCTGGAGAAGAGCCCTTGGGTGCGGTGGGCAGGGGCTCCCTGCCCAGCTGCCTTCTCCTTGGAGCCTCCTTGGCCCAGTGGGCAGGACCTGGCGTGGTAAGGCAGAGCGGGGCCAGACGGGGAAGCTCATTGCAGGCAACGGACACTCCACACCGCCATGGCAAGGTGCCCCCTGCTTGCTGCTGCCAGGCAAGCTGGGGTGCTTTGGCTGGGCGGTACAGGGCTTGCAGCAGCAAGATGTTTCCCTGTTCAGCTGCACTCTGCCCTGCCACACCAGGTCCCATCTGCTGGGCTGTAAAGGCAACCCAAAGCAAAACCTCAGGGTTGGGGGGACAGGGAAGGGCAGTGGGGGGAGGAGAAGCAGCAGGGCGGGGAGCCTGAGACCACAGCCCACCCCCGCCCCCACCCTGTGCACACATCTGGGGGTATGTGCCCTCTCTGCACCCCTCAGCCCTCCCCTCCCCCCACCTCCCTATGACAAGCAGCTTGCAGCTGTGTCACGCTCTCTGCTGGGGCCCTATGGCTACACTCCAACCCCAGGCCCCAAGCACCGCCCGGGCTGAGCAGCATCCCCAGCTCTGCTCAACTCCCTTCATCACTATGGGGGCTTCAATTCCTGCCACCCCCCACCCCCTGCCATACTGACCTGGGGGAGCTGCTCTCCAGGCTGCCTGTTTCATGTGCTCCTGCTCCCCCCCCCCCCACGGCTCCTTGCAGGCTGGAACTCTGCCAGCCTAAAGAAAGCTCTTTGCAAAAATGGAAAATTAGTGCGTTTCTCTGTTAAAATGAAAAATCCACTTTTTTTTGGTTAAAAGCAAAAATCCGCTTGTTTCCCATTTTTCCATGAGAAACAGAAAACCTGGATCCCTGTTCATGAATCATCCATACTGAAGAGTGGGTGAATTCCTACGTAAATTTCTTTTTTAATGTATCTTCTCTACTGACACTTTTTCCAAAAGTACTTCTGTCACAGGACTTTAAAGAACAGATCTTTAAATTTTGTTTCAGTCCTTAGTTTTTGTGTGACAACTGAATATGGAACAGTCAAAAATTATTTTATTATAAGACATTAGCAACAGATGCCAGTTGAATTTTAGCACTATCAAACGTTAAAGATAAGGAAATAACATACAAATGCACTATATAGCTAAACCAGCAACAACAAATTAAATATTCTTCTTATGCACAAACTCACCATATGCATCCATTACAGGTTTGAGGTCTTTGTACTGGGTAATAACACTGATGGTTTCCTGCACTGTTAGGTCTCTGTACTTATACTGAAAAAGAAAAATATTAAATTTCTTTAAGATGAACAACCCTAAAGCTTTGCTTTGCGTTGCCTTGTTTTTCTTGTGAAAAGCCAAGTGTGTAAGATTTTATATTTACAAGGCTCTATACAAATGATACAACTCAGGGCTCATCTGTGTTTTTTCTGATGAACTCCACATACAAACATTTATTTTTGCAACAACAGTGCATTACCACCCTTTGGTTTAGCCTGCTTTCTAAAATTAAGCTAAACAGGAACAAAGTGCTCTTGTTCCAGCGTAAGTGTACGCACACTGAATGATTCAGCAACAGCAATTGTGCTTTCATTCATACCCTCTTAATCTGTGTTACATTTCAAGTAGACACAGATCCAAAACAGTCTGAATATCAACACAGTTAATCTTCAATTAAAGATACCATCTTTCTAGCTTGTAAAAATAGTTAATGTAATTTTATGAATAAAGTTAACAGCAAAACAGTAGGATCAACCCTATCACATTGGAAACGATAGAAAAATGGAATCCAATTTGTTTTACCACATGCAGTAACCATGAATTTAAAATGTTTTCAGCACTTATTCCCATAAATCCATTCTATTTCTACTAAAAAAGACAAGCATAAGAGGAAAAAAAGTGAAAGATCCTCAAAAGCTAGAAAGCATACTGATGCTAGGGAAATCTTTGTTTACAGAAACATCTCTGAGCCAGCATAACGATTTCTTAAAATCGTCCTTATATAAAACTGCAAATCAATTGTAACCTGTAATAGAGTGGCACCCAACCTGCAGCACATCTGCCACAAATGACATAGGGAGCCTCTATATAGGGCATAAGACAAACTGGAGAGGAAACAGGGAGCCCAGCAGCAGATCAGGAAGGGAGCAGAAAACAGAGCAGCAGATCAGGCAAGAAAAGGGGATTGGAATGGCACTCAGGGAGGATTCAAGGCTAATTTGCAGCACATCTACCAAAAAAGGTTGGTCTCCCACTGTAGTAAAGTATGTCAGTGGAGTTTACGTGTGATGCATGGCCAAAAAGTGCATTTATTAAGTCAAATGTAACCACATTCACAATTCCTACTGGGATAGGACCTGCTCCCAGCTATAATATGTGCATATACTGAAGCCCAATAGCAGAAGCTACAGCACTGTGAGGGCCACCTGGTATATCCTACTTTCTCGCCCCCTTGAACTTGGGAAAAGAGGGCAAGATGTACAATCAGAGCTGGAGTACATGGATCCAGGACTCCTACATACATACAAATCTTACCAGAAAGCACTTGATACTTTAGCTGAAGCATTCAGATAGTGTTTGGACTGTCTCAGGGGAAGGCAAGATGGACAGAGGGAGAGCTCACCCCCAGTGTACACACCCTGTTGCTATCCCCACGGTGCTGCCTTCAACTACAAAAAAACCAAGCCCTATCTGAAGTAGTGAGTAGTATCAGGAAGCAAGAAGCACATCAAACCAAACAACAGCAGCAGTAATGCACATCTCAAGGCTCGTTTGTGTACCCACTAATACAGCAGCAACAAGAAGTTGTTTTTACAGATGTGCTCTGACATCAATCTACCATGCAATTTAATGGTACACAAATTCTGACCTAGCTGTTTGACCATAAACCAGCTGTTCATGAGCAGCAGAGGACTGGCTGGGCATGTAGTGCAGTCTCACTCTATTATCATCTATTCACTTGCATTAAAAGCCAGCTAAAAAAATACTCTCTCTCTAACATTTTTCCATGTAAGTAACAACATTCACTGTGATCTGTTTTAGTACACAGCCTCAGGATAGAAAAAAGTCCAGACAACTATCTGGATTATACACTTATCCAAACAATGTAAAATGTACCCAGCCCTGTCAATGCTGGAGAATTAGCAGGCCTGAAACAGACTAGCTCCCCTCATTTTCAAGGCCCTAAACAACCAAATAACTATTACAGCTCAGGAAAATGAGAAAAAAAAAACTGGTAATTTTCATGGCTACTATTTGCTCTGGCTACGTATACCCCAAGCCAGTCCACAAAGCTTCATCTTTACAGAGGCAGCTGAGGCATTAAGAACCTAACCCTACCGAGGGTCCGCATCCTATTGTACATTTAACTAACATGTGAATAGTCGAATTTGTTGCAATGTAAGCAACATACTTACCAGACTGGCATTGTGTTACACAGTTAAGCAAAGTATGTGTTTATCCAATATGTATACAAGTGAAACATTCAGCAATTTCTACAAGGATTACTACCTCCCCTCTCTTTGGTGCCAAGGTAGCTTTGCAACAATAAAAGAAGGGGGAGGGGATCAAAACTAAGAAAAAGTAAGACAAACCATGTCCAAATGCTTCAGAGCACCCAGTGAATAATATTTAGCAGATTTAAATTAATTCAAACACTATCAGCTTATGTTACCAAATGTAAAACGATGTTTTTGCTCTCACAACTTTTCACCTAAGTAACAAAACTCAAGGACTGCTTGTTCCTGTTTATTTACAATCTATAAGGGAATGAAAGCAATGGCCATTCCAAATCATATCTTGTGAGAATAGGTAGGACCTCCCACTCTCTCCACCCCGATGTAGCCTTACCCATGGAGAAAGCGCAACTTTGGATTTCCCCCTCTTCGCCCTCCGAAGTCAAGGAAAATACATGACAGCTGATGAAGCAAGACATTATGGTCTTCTTTCAGTCTGAGTTCAGTAGCATGCAACAATAAAATCAAGTGCCTTCAAGCTTATCCTATTAATATGAGAAGTAAACCGTCTTAAAATATTCCAAGACTTCTGTTTTCTGCAGCAGGGCAAGTAGGCTCAGTTAAACATGTACATAAGCAATAAGAGAGTTAGCTTCTGCTAAAAGAAGTCCAGAGAAAGTACAAGGATCAAGAACTAGTTCCACATGTTCACATGTGATCCATTCGTATCATTTCCTCTCTGCATCACATTTCATTTAATGAAATAAGTACAATAAAGCTTGCCTCCTGAACAGTGGCATTACAAGCCTTGCATCTGTAGATCACTTTAGGAACTTTACTTGAAAGATTTTTCAGTTGTACAGTACAGCAACCAATCAGGTGCACATGTCAATTTTTCTATAAAGAAGAAAATGTTTTTATAGTGAATCTATAATACCTTAAGCAAGGACATATTACCTACAGGAATGGTGCATTTAAAAGTCTGAAGAGAGTCTCCTTGAATGCTACTGTAATTCACTTCAGCAATCATCACTCCAGTAGCACATGCTCAGAGTAAAATTTTAACCCAGGTACTTGATTTTAAGATTTTGGGGAGAAACTGCACACAATCTGCGCACACACACACACCTAGCAAGCACACCTGGCTCGCACACCTGGTTCATCTAGCAAGCACACACGAGTGAGCACTTAAAATTATTTTGTGTTTTCTTTAATGTTAAAAAGGACTGTTGCAGACACTGTTTTTTTGTGCTGGCTTTGTACCAAAATAGAATGGAGATGATGAATTTGGCTATAGTTATTGCTATGATCTGGTCTAGGATTTCAATAGATGGTCCTCTCATTTCTAGGATTAAGCAGATTACAGCTATTGAAGAAAGAGTAGAATTTGCATAAGAGGTTATGTCAGGAACTGTCTGATCTGCACAAAACAGAGCATAGATGTTATCGTCACATTGTTTTATATTACAATGTGGAATTTTACATTAGAAATCAGACATGTCTCTGAAACCATGTAGTATGGTTGTGTCTTATTCCCCTTTTCATTCATATTTGCATTTGAATAAACACATTTTGATCTAATATTTATTTTATACTTTGCTACTATTTGTTTCATATTGATGAAAAAGACTCAGTGCCTGAGAAAATAAGCATCTACTAAAATTATTATCTACATTTATTAACCTGGACTAATACCTAAAAATTATACAAAACTTTTTTCAGTCTGGACCCTCAAAATAGACTAGACATCAGACTGCTATTTGACATATCAAGAAACAAACACAGAGAGAAGGGAAGCAATTTGCTCCAAGTCAGGCAACAAGTCAGATACAGAAAGTAAATATTTATCTAAAGGGGGAAATAAACCTTAATAGTCACTCAACCTAGTCATAAACATTGTTATACATGTTGAACATCTTCCAAATACCTGCAAGACTCATCCTCATACCAAGTGAAGAATTATAACTATGTATAATTAATAATTATGTAGCTACTATAAATACATCTCTTTGACAGTGAGCTTAAAGTAAAAAGAAAACATTAAAACAACTGTTTTCTCTTGCTAACAGGTGAACAGCCATTTTCACTGAATTCATCTCCTGTAAAACAGGATGAAATGATTTGCGTGTGATCTGATCAACACTTCCAATCTTTACTTCTAACCTCCACAATGATGAACAGAAACTGGTGCTGCACCTTTTGCAGTTCAGGTTTTCCTTCTTGCAAGAAATTTAAATGATAAACAGATCAATTTCCTGTGGATTTTTAAAGGACTACATGATATCTAATTTCATAAAAAAAAACTCAGAACATAAGAAATACCTATTGCAGTGGTGCTCAACCTTGTTAGACTTGAGGCACACCTCAGAAAATGTCAGCTTAGTTTTCATTTGTTTTTTGACTTATAATTCTTTTGTTACAAGGAATTGAAAAACACTGTAACAGGTCAGACTGTTTTTAACACTATGGATTTGTATTTGGTATCTCTGGTTTTATCTTGTGAATGATGTTTGCACACCTAATAGTACTACAGGGTTTGGCATCTCACGACACCCTTGAAAAGATCTAAGTGCACACAAGGTTGAGAATCATTGACCTACTGAGTCAGACCACAGGTATACCTACCTCAGCATCCTGTCTTTCACAGTGGCAGAGAGCAGATGCTAAGGGAAATATTTACAGATCTGTCCCATGCCCCTCCCCACTACAGCTTCCAGGTTGCACCCCTAGCATATTTAATGCCACTGATTGTAGATGCTCATATACCTAGGGATCTACTTACATTGCAGTGAGACTAAATAATTTGCATGGATTGATCAC